CCAGGCCTCAGGCCACCGTTGGCCAGAGCAGAACTGGTCTGACCATTGCTCTCTGCACTCTCATTCCCTCCTCTCCGCTCATGCATCCCTGCGCCACCCCTTAACCCAGTGGTTCTCAACCTTCTGGCCCTTTAAATACAGTTCCTCATGTTGTGACCCAACCATATAATTATTTTCGTTGCTACTTCATAACTGTCATGTTGCTACTGTTATGAATCGTAATGTAAATATCTGATATGCAGGATGGTCTTAGGCGACCGCTGTGAAAGGGTCGTTCGACCGCCAAAGGGGTCGCAACCCACAGGTTGAGAACCGCTGCTAACCCCTCCTGAAACCCCCTCTTTGTCCAGCTTGCCATCCTCCACGACCCCAGCCTGACCATCCAGCCTGGACTCAGAGTCTGTATTCCATTCAGCATCTGCTGGTTTCTCCGACGTCGTTGGTCTTACACACAAGTCCACCCTTGGAGAGCCTATGACATGCGGGGACAGACTGTAGCTGGCGATTCCCACGTCCTCAGTGCCTCACACACTTGAGAGGCACAAAATTAACGTTGTTGTACTGACAGCTTGTTGGTCCGGGACACCCACTTCCTGTGTGAGAGTCCTGCAAAAAAGGGGGAAGCTCAGGTGGAGCCCGATTCCACACACTAACTTGCCTGGTTTTCACAGACTAAAGGGTGCAGCCATCAAAGCAAATGAACAGTAACTCAGGTTTGAATGCCGCGCACACATCTCCGAGCACCAGGCCTCTTGTCTGCAGTGACAGAGACGGTTAGAGATAAAACATCGGGGTTCATCCTATTCAGCTGGGATTCAGTTAAGCTTTCTGTCGCCCGTCCTGCTAAGACCCCAATTACAGCTCGTCTTATGCGTCAACAATCAAAATAAGTTACACCACTCAGTGCAGTTCTTGAAGAGGGCATTCAATTTTTCAAGCTGCTGGGACATCCTTTCAAGCACTTTCTGGTGGGACCCTACCGTATGCCGTGGGCACTGCAGTGTTTGCGGTGAGCCCCAATGTGCGTTTGTTGAGTGAACAAATGAAGGAGTGACACGCTTTCATACTGCAGGTGTTGTTTCTCCAGCACGGAAAGATTAAATTCCCACCACTTCCGCCTACTCTTTCCTAATCCAAATTGTCTCACCCTATAATTTTCACTGCTTATGAAGTAATTCTGAGCTAAGTCCTCCTAATTTCCCTGAGAACCTAATTTAAACAGTAGAAGAAGCTGGCTCTTTAACTAGCAAGTACTTATAACAAGTGTTTTCATATATATATATATACACACACATATATATATCTCAAGTGTTTTCTTAAAGTGAGTTGTTCAGTGCATATGTGAAAAGGGGCCAAATAGCATCCAAAGGTATCAAACCAATTACTGGAAGGTGTAGGGCCCGGTCTGTGCTAGGGAAATAGTATCAGAGGCGAAACAAATCGCATGGAAGTGAATCACTTCCCTTTGGCAACTGAAATGACCTTAGACAACTCCCCCCATGATTTTGTCTGACATTTCTTTCAAATGCCAATGAGCACCTCACTTTGTCGAGTTAGATACGTCCAGGACGCTGGTATTACGCTACTTCGGAGCCAGAAGGCCACATGTCTAGGATGTTCCAGGACACTCTCCTTTCATGTAATTTTCATCTTTTTAATAAAGGCAATTTGTTGAATATATAACTAAATATGAAGTCATTTCATATAATTGTAAGACTTCATGTAATTAGATTCACAAGTAAGAAAACATTCTCTTTACCATTCAATTAAATTCAACCAACGTTTACTGATTGCTCTGTGATACGCCAGTCCCTAAGTTAGGTCAAGGGGGTCTAGAAGTAAATATAACATAATCCCTGTCCCCAAGGATCTTACAAAGTAAAAAATAAATTGCAATTGGCGATTTACATATAACAATCAAAACATGTTCCAACCACAAGGGAGCATATAACTTTATTTAGTCTGGAGGCGGGACACTGGAGGGGAGGCTTCCCAGAAGAGGTGACTCCTTGGCTGGGTTTTGAAGAATGAATAGGAGCTCACTAGTTGCATCAGGGGAAGGGCCCTGACATTCCAAGCAGAGGAATAGCCTGATTGTGTCCTGATTTCTTATTTAGGAAATTAGGATCATCCTATAGAGATAACAGAACCCAGAGCCTAATTATATTTATTGTCTTTCAGAAATGCCTCTGCATAGAAACCCACACCTGAAACCTACATGTTCATGTTGACCAATGTCACCCCAATCAATTCAATAAATAAATATTTTTTAAAAATGTCTCTGAAATTTTAATTTTGGCTTAAAATGTTCTCTAGCTAGCGCTGGTTGGGGAGAAATTTATTACTGGGTTACAGTTTTGTTTGTTTAAAAACTATGTAAAAACTACTTCTTAGATTTTTTTATTTGTTGGCTATGAACAAGGAAGATCACTACTGTCTTATTCTCAAGAGAAAAATATAGATTCTGAACAATTATTCAAAGGAGAAGACCTCTCTCCAGGCACCTCCAGTTGTTCGTGTGCCATGGGGACACTGGCTGGTGAGGGCCACTCCACTCTGCGTGGGTCGGTCCAAACCCAAACCTGACCTATCTGGCTTCTTCCTGCACAAACTCCTAAAGAAAAAAAATGGATAAAGTAAAGTTTGACCTTGAAGAGAGTAGCTAATAAAGGAACATGAAAAGATGCTTGAATAATGATGGAAAGACATAGAATAGCCAGGAAAAGAAAAATAAAATTTAACGAAGAATAGGATAGTGATGTTCTTAAAGATTTTGTATGAAAGGCCTGGTTCACACAGATGCGTTCTTTACTGACCCCAGACTGTCAGGGTGGGAGCCCTGAGGGCCTGTTACAGAGGGTGATGCTCTGCCCTAACTCCTGGGCCTTGGCGATGCAGCTGCTGCTCAGCCGCAAACTGACCCCCCAGACACGGGAAAGTTCAAAGTCCCAAAGAGGACGAGAAGTTTAGGAGTTGTTCTCGCTCTGGATCTCTGTATTCCCTTTGAGTGGCCAAACTTTTGGCTTTATTTAGCGAAAGGAAGTTGGATATTATTCAGCCATAAAAAAGAATTAAATCTTGCCATTTGGGACAACATGGATGGACCCTGAGGACATTGTACTGAGATAAGCCAGACAGAGAAAGACAAATCCTGTATGATCTCACTTCTATGTGGAATCTAAAAACAAAACAAAACAAAAGTAACAACAAAAGCCCCTCAAACTCAAAGATACAGAGAACAGACTGGTGGGTGCCAGAGGTGGGGGGAGGGGCAGGCAAATAGTGAAGGGGTCAGAAGATACAAACTTCCAGTTATAAACTCAGTAAGTTATGGGGATGTCATGTACAGCATGGTGACTATAGTTAATACTGAATCACATATTTGAAAGTTGCTAAGAGAGTAGATTTTAAACGTTTTCATCACAAGAAAAATGGCTTTTTTTCTAACTGTGTGCTGACAGATATGAACTAGACTTATTGTGGGGATCACTTCACCATGTGTACAAATATTGAACCATTATGTTGTACACCTGAAACGAACATAAAGTTATATGTCAATTAAACCTCAACTTACAAAGAGAAAGGAAATGACAGGCAATGCCCTTTAATAATTTTCAAGTTGTTATACAAACACCTTAGGCAGAGCTGAGCTAATCGGCAAATTTTTAAAAAAATTTGCACAAAGAATTTCAGATGTTTATATTAGTTAAGTAAAATAATCCTACTTAAAATGTTCCTTCTTATTCTGTACAAATTAGTTTTGGAAATGCCTCCTGTTTTTGAGGTTGAAATAAAAATTTATAGCAACTTTAAAAAAGAAGAAGAAAAAGACACGTCCCGGTGCCAGTGAAGTCTGCATTCCTTTGAGGGAAGAAAACCAAACTAGTGAATACACAGCGCGGCCGATGCGATCACTGCTGTGAGGAAACACAGACCCTGCTTCTAGAGCGACCGAGGGAGAGGTCAAGGCCCCTGGCTCGGAGGTGACATTAGGCGACAGAGAAAGCGAGAGCTGAAGACAGTCCCGGTCGGGCCAGTGCACAGCCCGAGGCAGCGTCTGTCACCCTGGCACCGGCCCAGAGAGTCAGGTCACTGCTGCCCCTGCTTTTCCTTTGGCTGTTGGCTCCTCCTGGTTCTTCCTTCTCTTCCTTCCCCTCGTTCTCCAGCCTCCCCCACAGCTTCTCCGTTCCCTCCCTGGTCTTCTCCCTCTTCACAGCACCCTAATCTAACACGACCCTGTCCACGAAATGCTAAGTGTTTTTGAAGGTGGGAGAAGGGAGAGAGAGGAAGCCTGTCTCAGGGAGGGACACTCGGTCCACGTACAGCCTCCGCAGGGGCAGCTCTCCCTGCTAAGGAAGCCCACCCCTCGCCCTGGCCACCGGCGGAGCACCCCCCCTTCAAGGAGCCCGTGCTCCCACCCCCATGGCCAGCTCCGCCCGAGCTGGAGAGGAGGGGGCTGCAGAAGACACCTGTCTGGTCCACCAGCGGCCAGACTGGAAACTCACCAGAATCTCCCAGGAGAGGTTTCCTGCTTCCGGAGTTCACACCAGACGGTGCGCAGCTGCTTCTGTGACAGGGAAATAGAAGCCGTGTAGCCGGTACACGGTTTCAGAATATGTTTTACATTTTACACAACAAAGTGAAAAACCTCCCATTCTTATAGGCAAAGACACACGATCTCAATGTCAAGTGAGGGGTGTCTTCAAAGCTCTCAGGAGGGAACTGCCTGGTGGGTGGCGCCTGCCTCAGATGGAGCTGCGGCGGCTGGAGAAACAGCCTCCCTCGAACGGGTTCCTCTCCCCGTGCTCGCTCTCCTAAGCTCCCCTCCCGCCTGACTCCACTCTGCAAAAGCCACAGAGTCGTGCCCCTGCCACTAAGAATGCCCCCACCTCCTCGCCCACAGCTTCTTTATGTCTCTGCCACCTTGTAGGGTGACAACTCGTGGCCACATGGGGTGCCCTGCTGGCCGGCAGCTCTGGCCTCATCTCCCTCTGTGGGGTCTAGCCCACCTCGCAGGCCAGGCGCAGGCGCAGCAATGCTGATTAGATTGGAGTGGCTGAGTGAGCGAGAGCAGGGGGTTAACACTGAGGAGGACCTGCAGTCCTGCCCAGCGTGCCCTCTGACCTTCTCATGTCACTGCAAGGACTGTGCTTGAGGCGCTCCTTGGCCTGAAAGCTATGCTTGGTGCTGGGGTTCACCCATCTCCTGGCCTCCCCTTTCAGCATTTATAGAGCACTTGATGCATTTCAAACAGCAAAACCCAACTCTGAGTTAACATCTGTGGCAAGTTGCTAACTCCTAGCATGTGGGGACGCTTCTGCCAGCCTTGGCGTGGTGGCCAGGAAGTGCCAGATTATTTATATGTCAGAGAAAAAAAAGAAAGGAGGGAAGGAAAAAAAAAAGAAAGGAGGGAAGGAAGGAAGGAAGGAAGGAAGGAAGGAGGGAAGGAAGGGAGGGGGGGAAGGAAGGAGACTATTTAAAAAGGAAACAAGCAGCTGGAAAATGATTTCATTCGTTCACACACTCATTTGCATATTAATTGAACAGCAGAGCTTACTGAATGAATGTGTGCACCATTGATTGAGGCCCAGGGTCACAGGCTCTGGCGTATGTGCCGTAGGCCTCCCAGTACTTATGGTCCTGCACCCTTTGGGAACCTGTGGGACATGCAGGCCCAGGTCACATAGCTGGAATACCTAACAGCCGTCCCCCTGTTGCCATGGAGACCCCAGGGAGAAGAGGAGGGCGGTCCTCTCCAGTATCACCCAGCAGCTTCCAAAGTTCTTTCATCTTCGCCTGAGCTGTGGCCCTTCCTCCAGCTGCCAATGCCACTGCCCGGCCACCCGGCCGCTGGGGCTTCCTTGAGGCTGAGGGTGTGTGCCACGGAGCAGGGGAAACTGGCCCTGCCTGAGGCTGGCCGAGGAGCAGAGCTGCCACAGAGAAAATTATGAGGTGAATTAAACTTTCATTTGGTTTTTATTTGGTTTCAGCAACCAATACAAGGGACAGCAATTTTCCAAGTCTGGTCACTGGTTGGAGGGTAGCTTGAGAACATCTGTTTTATTAACAGCTGCGGCAATAAAAGCCGATCCTATACTTGCGGAGGGGCGGCCTTCCAGGGCCCTCTGGGCTCGAGACCTTATCTGCTCCCCTTCCCACAGCGGCCTGGAGAGAGGGATTCTCATTACGCTTAAGGCTGACCTCTCTGCACCTCCCCACTGCTGCCCACTCAGCCACTTCCACAGGAAGGAAAGCCAGAGTGGGGGAGGGAGAGGGACAGAAAGAGGAAGAGAGGGAGAGGAGAGAGGGAGGAAGAGGGAAAAAGAGAGAGAATGAGAGGAAGAGAGAGAGGGAGGGAGAGGGGATGGGAGGGAGAGAGAGAGGAAGAGAGAGAGAAGAGAGACTAAAGTTTAGGTACTAGAAGTGATGCACTTGGATTCTTGAGGCTCAATGGATAAACAAAATACTGAATATCCATGTAATGGAATATTACTCGGCCGGTAAAAGAAATAAAATACTGGTACTTGTTTCATTGCGGATGAACCTTGAGTGCATGTTAAGTGAAAGAACTCAGTCACAAATGACAATGTACTGTGCGATTCCATTTACATGAAATATCCAAGACATGCGGATTCATGGGGACAGAGTAGAGTGGTGATTGCCAGGGTCTGGGGGGAGGGCGATGGAGAGTAACTCTAGTGGGTGTGGGGTTTCTTTGGGGGCAATGAGGGCATTCTGGGACTAGATAGTGGTGATCATTGTGCAACCCTGTGACTATACTAAACATCACCGAATTGCACACTTTCAATATGTGACTCTTGTTCATCGCTACGCCAAGCCCAGATTGGTTGTTATTGCTGTGTGTCTCTCTATGTCTGTGTGTGTCTGACTGTGTGTGTGTCCATGTGTCTACATGTCTGTGTGTTTGTGTGCCTGTCTCTGCATGTGCCTGTGTCTGTGTGTGCCTGTGTCGTGTATCTGTGTATGTATCTGTGTGTCTGTGTGTGTCTACATGTCTCTGTGTTTGTGTGCCTGTGTCTGCATGTGCCTGTGTCTGTGTGTGTCTGTGTGTCTGAATGTGTGTGTCTATATGTGTCCATGTGTCTGTCTGTGCATGTCTGTGTGTCTGTCTGTGTGCCTGCATAGAACAGGCCCCTGTGTTCTTTTTCATCACCTCTGGCCGTGGAGACACCAGGAGTAACAGGAGAGGAGGAGGCCTGGCCCGAGGCAGGAGGGTGTTTTTGGGGGAGAGGGTGGCTGGCATTTCAGAACACCGCCAGCCCTGACCCGTCATAAACGAAGCTCAGAGAGTGAGGACCCTCAGTGCTGTCAGTGCGTCCCCATCCCCCAAAGGACCTCAGGAATCAAACCAGAGGCCCGGGAAGAACTGTTACAGCCCGGTCCCCAGGACACACTCTGCAGAGGGAATAAAAGAGCCTTCAAGGAAGGGCAGCCTCAGACATTGAAATTAATTTTAAAACCCAGTGATGGGGGTGGAGGGAGCAAACCCTTTAGCACAGCGCGCACAGCGCCGGGGAAGGTGGACGACAGCAGAGGCCTCTCCTGACTTGATCTGAAAGAGAGATGGGGCGGAGAGAAAGATATGCGGGTAAAGGAGAGATTTCACTCAGAGGCACCTGCAGAATGAACGCCACCTGCCGGCCGCAGGACACACAGGGCCGCCAGGGGTGCCGAGCGGAACCGCGCTGGGGAGGGGAGGTTCCAGGGCTCCGAGGCAGCGCACAGAACAGGCAGTTCCCTAGGTGTCTGCAGCGGAGCCTGGAGGGGCAACTGCGGCTCCGGAAACCAGCCCGGGGTGACCAGCAGCCTAGGAGTTCGTGGGTCAAGAACAAAATGTATGTTCCCAGGTGCGCACAGGATCATAGTCCACGCGAGGGAGGGCGTGGGAGGGAGTCCTGGGCACCGGAAATGGAACCTGGGCAGCTCCGGGTTCAGGGAAAGGGGCGGGTGGGGGACGGGCCAGGTGGCGTCTCGGATGCAACAGTTAGTCGGGTCTGGTTGGATCTGGTATCTTTCTACACCAACCAATGAGTTTTGCTCACCTGTGACTTTATGCAACAGCCGGACGATTCACTGGCAGGAGCGACTGTGCCCACAGGACTGGGCTCCGAGCCACGGTCCGTATCCATGGCCGTGAGCACCAGACCGCACGAAGGAAGATGCTCTTATCCCAACAGTGGTGTGAACTGCGCCCCCTTTTTATGAGTGAACATGTGACATGTCCTTCCGTGTGGTTCTGATGTGAGGCACGGTGGTTAGAAGCTAGGAAATTCCTTGGCAAGAGGAATGAGGGAAACTGAGACAAAATAACTAAACAAGGCCGAGCAATTAGCAGCTGCTAATGAATCACAAGGTCTCTTCCCCGACCAAGGACACTTAGGAGCAAAGGTTTACACCTCTACCCCCACCCGGAGAGTGCGCAGCTTAAGTCACCCTGGGCAGGGAGCTGAGACAGCAGGTTGGTGCCATCAGTGCCAGCCAAACCCCAGAACGAATGAAGTCAGGGAACTAAATGACAAAAACAAAACAAAACAAAAATCAACCAGAGTCAACAAATCCAAGATAGAGGAAAATCGATAACACTGACCAGACAATGGTCCCAAACTCCTCTCTACACTCATTTTGATGCATCGGCATCTTAAAGGGCTTGGAAAGCTGATGAATTTTCTGTTGAGACCTTCCCCCGACCTCCCCTAAAACTCCCGCCTTTGGAGACAGATAAGAACCCACAAGACAAAGGACCCAGTGGGCGCTCTCCGTTAAGCACACCTGCACCCCCTTTCCTCAGGCGAGTCCTTTGCTTTCTTTCTCCTGAGCTCTAAGGGTCCCCATGAGACCTGCAACCAGGGGGCAGCGGGCAGTGGCAGCTCATCCCAGGCTCACCCCCTGAACCCGTCTCCAAGGGCTTTGCTGCCTCTGTGACTGCCTTCCCCGCGGCCAGGCAGCCCGGCGTGGCTCACTCCTGCGGCTGTGATCTTGCCTCTTCTGTCCTAAGCCCTTCCTTTGTTGCACTGTCCCAGCTTTAATAAATGTCCTCTCCAATTCACCTGGACTCATGTCGTGAAAGCTGTCCCCCACCAAGTCAAGAACCCACACATTCCAGACTGTGCCAGGCCACCTGCCTCGGTCCTGGTTCCTTTCTGGTGACAACGGTCAGCCTCACTTTCCTCTTCCTCCAGTTGTCAGGACGGTCAGGGGGCCCAGGGCCCACCTCCCGCTGCTGCTGCTGGCCCTGCCTTCACAGGCGGTGGTTCCACGCGGCTTCCCGAGCGTGTTGACAGCCGGGTTCTGCCCAGCAGTGAGCTCACCCCGTCTAGCCGGCCCAGAGAGCCCTCCCTGAGTCCGAGGCCTGTCGTGGCAGCTCTGTGGAACACACGGGGCAGCACTGCAGGGCAACACTGCGGGTCCTGGGTCCCTGGGACTCACAGGAGGAAGAGAGAGACTCCCCCACACGCCCTCGGGTGCAGAATGTGCCAAGGCCAGCAGCCAAGCCCGGCTTGGGTGCCTGCAGGACCCGGAGTAGTTCCCGCTGCTCTGGTTGCAGGTGGAGAAGCGGGGGCACAGGCCCAGCAGCAGGAGGCTGCCCCTCGCTGCCCGCCTGGCCGTGGCGTCACAAGGGGCACCTGGGAGCAGACAGACAATGGCAGGGGTGGCCGAGGACCTCGCAGCACACAAGAAGTCCTTGGGAACGCCCCTAAATAACTGGTGGGGCTGTGGGGGCTCTTGCAGGGGGCCTGGAAAGATGCAAAGCCCCCGATGGTGGGGTGAAGCTAGACCCCAACACATCCTGGGGGTTCTGCCGATGCGCCCCCATCGCAGACTCCGGCTGATGCGGCCTTGGACTCGCAGGCTATCCCTTCAGGGCTTTCACATAAAACGTGTAATGAAACATTTTATTCTCTCTGCCATTATTTCAGGTCCGCTCTTCAAATGTAGAGTCTCCCCAATTGTGAGTTTACAGATTGCAGGAGCACAGAACGAAGTGCTGAGCACCCGGTGGGCTGGGGCAGAGCTGGG